TTGTGGCCATTATTTCTTGTAACCCCTGGGGGCGCCTTGGTGAGTAAAACCTCACCAATTCCCTTCTGTGCCCCCGTGATGAACTTATAGGCAGCCACAAGGTCGCCTCTCAACCTTCTCTTGCGGAGGCTGAAGAGGTCCAGGTTCCCCAGTCTCACCTCATAGGGCTTGGCCTGCCAGCCCTTAACCATATGAGTGGCCCTTCTCTGGACCCTCTCCAGGTTATCCACATCCCTTTTGAAGTGTGGCGTCCAAAATTGCACACAGTATTCCAACTGTGGTCTGACCAGCACCCGATAGAGGGGAAGTATCACCTCCTTGGTTCTGTTAGTCATGCATATGCTGATGCACGATAAAGTGCCATTTGCTTTCCTGATGACTTCGTCACACTGACGTCCAATGACCAACCAGGTCATTTCCTAGGCAGTAGGTATGCTGGACATTTTTCCTCCCTAGGTGCAGCACTTTGCATTTCTCCTTGTTGAATTGCATTCTGTTGTTTTCCGCCCATATGTCCAACCTGTCCAGGTCTGCTTGTAGTTGGTTCCCTGCCCTGCGGTGTGTCCACTTCTCCCCACAGTTTTGTGTCATCCACAAACTAGGACAGAGCACACTTCACTTCCTCGTCCAAGTCGCTGATGAAGACATTGAAGAGTATCAGTCCAAGGACCAAGCCCTGCAGGACCCCACTGCCCACACCCTTCCAGGTCGATACCGACCCATCCGCTACAACTCTCTGGGTATGACCCTCTAGCCAATTCGCCACCCACCGGACCATGCAGTCATCCAAGTCACAGCCTCTTAACTTGTTCACCAGTATGGTGTGGGATACCGTATCGAAGGCCTTCCTGAAGTCTAAGTAAATGACGTCAACCCCTACTCCTGCATCCAGGTGTTTTGTAACCTGGTCATAAAAAGAGACTAGATTAGTCAGGCATGATCTTCCTGCTATGAACCCGTGCTGGTTTCCCCTCAGCATAACTTTTCCTGCCGGGCTCTCGCCCCATTGGTGGAGGGGCCCCACTTCTGGCTCATAGGAAAGCAAAACCCGTGGTTTTAAACTTGGTGCCATTTTTGTCTCCCTGCTGCTGATTGGCTGAGGGATGGAGAGACAAAAATAGCACCAAGTTTAAAACCGTGGCTTTTGCTTCCCTGCTGATGAGGGTTCGGGGGCCCCTGATTGGTAAGAATCCTAGGCCCGGGCCCAACTGGCCCGTCTGTTAATCCGCCTATACCGACAGTGTTCTCTTCAGGATGGGTTGAAGCTGGTGGGCTGGTGCTGTCTCCAATTTACCCACCCCCTACCCCAGCACAAGCTGGGCAAACTGCAGCCTGAGCTCCCTCTCCTCCCTTCTCCCCTTGCCATCTTGCAAACAGCATTGGAGCCGAGGGGGGAGGGGGAGGGAGAACTAGGGGAGAGAGGCTGCAGACACGCGGCTGGCTCCAGACTGGAGCTCGATCCCCCAACCCCCTTCCCCCCTGGCCTAACAGAGAACAGTTGTTGGTTTGGGGGATCGCTGTAACTCATGGCACTTCCTTTCATAGATTTCATAGACATTAGGGCTGGAAGGGACCTCGGAAGATCATCGAGTCCAGCCCCCTGCCCAAAGGACAGGAAGTCATCCGGGTTCATAGGATCCCAGCAAGATGAGCATCCAGTTTGCTCTTGAAGGTGTTCAATGTGGGCGCTTGAACCACCTCCGGTGGCAGGCTGTTCCAGACCTTGGGGGCTCGGACAGTAAAGAAATTCTTCCTTATGTCCAGCCTGAAACGGTCTTGTAGTAGTTTATGACCATTCGACCTAGTCGTCATCCCTTGGGGCGCTCTGGTGAACAAACGCTCCCCCAGATACTGGTGGTCACCCCTGATAAACTTATAGGTGGCCACCAGATCACCCCTGAGCCTG